CATTTTATTGTACTTTGATTTATGGTTTTCCGGCTATTGCATGTTTTACAAATTGAAGGTGTGCAGCAATCCTGCATCAAGCAAGTCTACAGGCACCATCATTCTAGAAGCTTGTGTCACTTCATGTTTCTGTGTCACATTTGGATCATTCTCACAAGATTTTAAACTTTTTCGTAATGCTATATTGCAGTTAATAGACTGCAGTACAGTGTAAACACAACTTTTATATGCAATGGGAACCTGGAACATTCATGTGACTCGCTTTATTCCAATACTTGTTTTTTTTTTTTTTTTTTTTGGTGGTCTGGAACAGATCCCACAATATCTCCAAGATATGCTTACAAATAAGAGCCTCCTTTCTCCCCTGTGAAACTGGGAGTGAAGTCAGTGAATGGATCAGTCTGTAGATTGGAGGATGTGTCAAAATTGTGGAGTGTCCACTGACAGGACAATAACAAGGGGGCAACAAAGGCTAGGACTCTAGTCTATGGATTTGTGAAGACAGGAGTGGCTGTCTCATCAAATGCAATTGTATTATTTATTTCTTAACCGTGATAGTATAAACAAAGGTCCAATCACAAAAGTAAGGGATATATTCAGAATACACTGGATTACTTTTGTTTTCCGTTTGCTGTTGTTGTTAGGTGTTGTTAGGTGCCCAGTTCGACTCATACTGACCATATGCACAACAGAACGAAACACTGTCTGGTCCAGTGCCATCCTCACAATCATTGTCAAGCTTCAGCACATTCAGAATACACTGGACTGATAATTTTATTTTTGCCTTTTGTTGTTATTGTACTTCTCCCAACACAGATTTGTTGGTTCTTCTGGCAGCTCATGGCACTTAATATTCTCCAATACTATAATTCAACTCCATCAATTCTTCTGCAGTCTTCCTTCTTCGTAGTCTAACTTCCACATGTATATGAAGCTACTGAAAATACCATGGCTTGGGTCAGGTGCACCTTATTCATCAAACTGACATCTTTGCTGTTGAACACTTTAAAGAGGTCTTGTGCTAATGCAATATGTCATTTGATTTCTTGACTGCTGATTTCATGAGAGTTGATGGTGGATCCAAGTTGTCTTTGACAACTTCAATCTTTTCTCCATTTATCAAGATGTTATTTTTTGTCTTTATAAATATTAAATTTACTTTATAAAACTCTATCATAAACTACATAATTTTGGAATTTTTGGTGTTTGAACACCTTCACCATTCTGTAATTGAAGAATGTCAAAATCTCTGTAAACATCTCTTTCTTTACTTTCTGCAAAGAGAAAATGAGATCTGAGATCTAGTCAGGGAAGACAGAGCTACCAGCACAATCAGGAGGTGTGTACTAGGGCTCTGAAGACACCGCTCCTTTGTCTTTTTCAGATTTGAGCTGCCCCCCTTTTTCTTGATGCCCTGGTATAGATTTAGAACTGGGAAGCTATGTGGGAGAAGCCAGCACATATGCTTTTCTAGAAATTGGCTGAGTCTGGCTCAAAATGGGCATCACACTCAAAGAGAAGCATCAGATCTACTGGCCGGAGAGCAAAGACTTGGCCAGACCTCAACCCTTCCTTCCAGGAGCCTCAACAAATCCATCAGTAGGATCAATGTCATGGATTGAATTTTCTCCTTCCAATCTATATATCTACTTGGATAGGCCATGATCCTCAGTTGATGTTGTTGTTGTTAGGTGCCATTGAGTTGGTACCAACTCATAGCGACCTTATGCACAACAAAACAAAACACTGCCCGGTCCTCGGCCAACCTCACAAATTGTTCCCACGCTTGAGCCCATTGATGCTGCCACTTGGCCAATCCATTTTGCTGAGGGTCTTCCTCTTTTTCTCTGACCCTCCACCCTATCAAACATGATCTCCTTCTCCAGTGACTGGTCCCTCCAGATAATATGTCCAAAGTATGAGAGATGAAGTTTGGCCATCCTGGCCTCCAAGGAGTACTCTGGCTGCTCTTCTTCCAACACAGATCTATTGGTTCTTTGGGCAGCCCATGGCACTTTCAATATTCTCCTTCAACACCATAACTCAAAAGCATCAATTATTCTATGGTCTTTCTTATTCACTGTCCAGCTTTCACATGCATATGAGGTTATTGAAAATAGCATGGCTTGGGGCAGGCACACCTTAGTCCTCAAGCTGATATCTTTGTTCTTCAACACTTTAAAAAGGTCTTGTGCAGCAGATTTGCCTAATGCAATACGTTATTTGATTTCTTGAGTGCTACTTCCATGAGTGTTGATGGTTGATGCAAGAAAAATGAAGTCCTTGACAACTTGAATCTTTTCTCCGTTGATAAGAATGTTGTTTATTGGTTCAGTGGTGAGGATTTTTGTTTTCTTTACATTGAAGTGCAATCCATACTCAGTAGTACACAATTATCTTCCATATTGTGATGTAATATCATTGTCCTATGTGTTGTGAGTTCTCACTTCTGTGATGCTAATGAGAGAGAATTAGAAGCAGGATACAATCTACAGGGTTGGTTGTATCTTGACACAATCTCATTTGATATATATATATATAAAATAATCTCACAGTAGAAATTAAGTCAGTAAGCAGAGATCAGCGGGACCTACTACCCAGGATTGCCTGTCCTCCATAGTAGTAAGTTTCAACCATGGGCTTGAAATATAAGGCCTCTCGAAAAAAAGACACTATGCACTTCTGAGAGTCGGAAACATTGGACTAAACCAGTCACAGGAGGATTTATATTCCACTTAAGCACTAACCAGACTTGAGAAGCTGCTTCCAGTTTTTTGAGAGTCAAAATGATGATTAGGTTTTTGTAATATTTCTAGCTTTGTATAGCCTTCCTAGTTGGTGAAAGAAAGAAAAATGTTTTAAATTAGAAAAGGAAGAAGAGTCCGGATCGGAATGCATGCTCTGGGCCTGAGTCTCTGGCCTGGCAGTTTCCCAGAACCAGGAGACAAAAGAGAGAGGAAGCTTTTCCTGGGAGTTGGCACCCTGAGTCTGGACTTGTAACCATCGAAGAATCGATGCATTTGAATTAGGGTGTTAGAGAAGAATACCAAAAGTTGGAGAAAAATATTGAAAGGACTTTGGACTGCTGGACGAACAGACAAATCTGTGTTGGAAGAAGCACAGCCAGAGTGTTCCAAAGAAGCCAGGATGGCGAGACAGCCTCCCTCAGACTTTAGACATGTTGTCAGGAGGGACCAGTCCCTGAGAAGGGCATCATGCGTTGAAAAGTGGTGGGCCAATGGAAAAGAGGAAGAGCCCCAACGAGATGGATTGGCACAGTGCCAGCAACAATAGGCTCTGACCTAGCAATTATGAAGATGACGCAGGACCAGGCAGTGAGTGCTTCATTCTGTTCAGCACAGATAGGGTCGCCAGGAGTAGGAGTGACTCAACGGTATGTACCAACAACAACGAAGTCAGAGAATAAACTTCTGTTTGTTAAAGTCACCCACTTGGATTTTTCTCTTGCAGCATCAACCTAGCAACAACAACAAAGTGTAGACTACAACAATCACAAAGTCAGAGAATAATTTGGTTTGTTGAAGCCATCCACTAGTTATTTCTATTACAGCAGGAAATGACTCGGTGGTACCTAGCAATAACAACAAGGCAGAGACTATTTTTCTGCTTGTTCAAGTTATCCACTGTGGTATTTCTGTTAACTAAGGCGACCAACCTTTGAGGTGCACCACCAAATCTCTAAGTAAAGGAGTCCATTTGGAGAGAAGACATGGTGATAGCAACACGAGGTCACCAGGCAAATGGATGTGTTCGGAGGACACATGATACCCGATTTGTAACCACTATGCTCTGGTAGTGTGGTGGTTACGAATCGGGCTGCTAAACTCAGGGTCAGCTCTTCCATGGGAGAAAGATGAGACTTTCTGCTCCCGTAAAGATTTATAGCCTTGGAAATCCTGTACAGGGTCACTATGAGTCAGAACCGACTCCACAGTACTTAACAACAACAACAACAAGTAGTGTGCGGAGCTGTGGGTTAATGTGCTGGACTGCAAGGTTGGTTTGAACCACAAGGTCGGTGGTTTAAACTCACCAGCCACTCCTCAGAAACCCTATACAGGATCTCTATGAGTCAGAAACGACTCAACGACACTTACCAACAACAATAACAACACATAGTGACAGGAGTTAGAGGTGAAGTTAAAGAAATGATTATAGACAGAAATGACTATAGACAAAACATACAAAAGCATTAGAAAACTCTAAACTCAGCCCTGAAGTCACCAATTACTGCTGGGCAGAGCAGCTGGTACAGGGCAGTCTGAGGATGTGTGCACTTAAAGTGAGGTCACACCATCCACAACTTGTGGCTAGCATCCAATGGAGGAGGGGACGCAGAATGAAAGGATTTGGACTGAGCTGGCAGGTCCCTGAGGGGTAACATTACCATCCAATTCTTGGGGATATTGCCAGGGTTTCTAAATGAGTTGATGCAGTTAAGAGCTTAGAGCAGAGCTGGTACATTATAAACACTCTTTCAACACCATCAACGTCAGCTGTTTGTCCAGCATAACACTAATACATGTCCACTCAAATGAACCAGCATTTTCCTCCCAACTAACTCACTTCATGGAAATTAACGCATTTGCCATCATGGGAAAGTCTACCTGCCTCTCCCATCAAGAAGCACAGCATCCTATTTGTGTATCACAAGCATCATTCGGTCCCATGATTCCCTCTGCCTCGCTTTTTACAGCCACATCTTCTGACTAATAATACTAGTTAATTACTCTCAGCTTTTTACACAGTCCACGGGGGAGAGGATCTGGTAGAAGAACAGTGCAGGAGAGAAAGTTTTCAGTTCATCTTAAGATTTAGAAATCATTCTACTCAACCCTGTAAATCATCCCATTGCCAGCTCTGGAGTTTTATTCTAAAGAATGGCATGCTCCCATGAGAGACAGATGCACTTCAATGGAGAAACAGATGGTACTATTGGAAGGCATTCTGGACCACGCGGCCCAGTGGCCCTCACTCACCTTTGTACTCTGGCAGGCACACACACTGGTAACCATTCACCAGGTCCCTGCAGGTGGCAGCGTTCAGACAGGGAGCAGAGAGGCATTCATTATACTCCTCCTCACAGTAGAGGCCATGGTAACCTAAGAGACAGAGACAAAAGACCGGCCATCAGACATGTTTGTTCCCTTCACAACACACACTGAACTCGCCTGCAAGGAAGCCTGCTGCTGAGGAGAACTGCACCAGGCCAGTTTCCCAAGGCACTTCTCGATGAGTTTGAACTGCCAACCTTTTAACTAGAAATAGTGTGGCACTATAGGATCTGCACTGGACTGTGAACCACAAGGTCAGCAGTTCAAATCTACCAGCTGCTCCTCGGAAACCCTATAGAGGGTCTCTATGAGTCAGAATTGACTCAATGGCACTTAATAACAACAGCACACTTATAGCAAAGTTAACTGGGATGCAGGGTGCAGACAGATGAGGTCTTGGAATATAATTGAAATGTGTGTTTTGGGAAGGCAGTGAAGAAGGAGACCTGTTGGTACAGTGGTTGAAGCACTCCGCTGCCAATTGAAACTCCAGTGGTTCAAACCCACCAGTTGCTCCACTGGAGAAAGAGTGGCAGCATGTTTCCATAAAGAGTTCAAAACCAAAACCTACAGCCATTTAGTCAATTCCAACTCATAGAGACCCTACGAAGGGGTTCCAGGAGTCCTGGTGTGGTACTGTAGGATAAAAACTAGACAGCTAACCTCAAGGTCAGTGGTTCAAACTCACCAACCACTCCTTGGAAACCCTCTATAAGGTCACTATGAGTCAGAACCGACTCAACAGCATTTAACAAAAAGAGAAGCAGAATGCTCCCAAGATTGTAGGTCTTTATGGGAGCAGATAGCCTCATCTTTCTCCTGCAGAGCAGCTGGTGGGTTTGACCTATCAGCCTGACAGTTAGCAGCCCATCGCCTAACCCACGGAACCCACAGAGCTCTTTTCCATAAAGACACCAGCCTTGGAAACTGCATGGGAACAGTTCTATAGTCTGTCGTATAGGATTCTACGAGTCAGAGTCGGACTACTGGGCTAGTGGTGTTGGTGACTGGGTGCCTGGGAAACTGGGTTACTGAATGGTCCTGCTGTGGTCACAGGATGAAGGCGACAGTGATGGCTGGAGAATATGGTGTGAGACCAGCAGTTCCTTTCAACGATGTGGACCACACCACTTCCCCTCTAGTCAATTAGAAAGATACATTCAACTAAAGATAATTATATTAAAGGACAAATGCATCAATGCACGTCTGTTGGTTTTCAGATCAAAAAACAAATTCACCTCAGAGGGCTTACTGGAAATTCTGGATGAGAGAATTTTATTTATTTACTTAAAACATGATTACTTAAATTATATTTTAAATTGTATATACATATTTTTATTATTGTTGTTGTTCATGTTGAGTGCCACTGAGTTGGTTCTGACTCATAACAACACAATACAGGGTTTCTGAGGGTCGACTGGTGGATTGATCTGCTGGCCTTGTGGTTAGCAGTCCAGTGCTTATCCAGCAGCACCACACCAGGAGTCCTTTTTATTATTAAAAGTATAATAATAGTCATAATGGAAAAGAAAGTGATGATTTCTCAACAGTATTGGCCCTGAACTTTTCTATTTACAAAACAGGTGTTTGTGCTAAAGAACAAGACGGCAGCATTCCTTGCAATTCACTTATGAATGTCTTGCTGTTTTTAACTTTCAAAAACACATGTGACTGCCAATACACAGTGAAACCAGACCATTTTTTGTCTGGCCCTGTCCAAACTATGAGAAACATGTGAGCATTTTCAAAACTCACCCTGCCTGTGTTAGTTCTGAGTTTAGATGAGTAGAAAAAAATAACCCTTTGTCCACCTAGGTAGGGACTGGAGCTACTAGCATTTGATCCAGTCTTATGTATTCACAGCCAACCCTTAAACTCATAAAGTACCATTGTTTTTAGGTGCCAGCGAGTTGGTCCCGACTCATAGAGACCCTATGCATAACAGAATGAAACACTGACCAGTCCTGGGCCAACCTCACAATCTTTGCTATGCTTGAGCCCATTGCTAATGCCACTGTGCCAGTCCATCTCATGGGGGTCTTCCTCTTTTTCTCCAACCCTCCACTTTACCAAACATGATATCATTCGCCAGAGACGGATCCATCCTGATAGTATGTCTGAAGTATGAAAACAAAGTCTGGCCATCCTGGCTTCCAAGGAGCACTCTGGCTGCACTTTTTCCAACACAGATCAGTTTGTTATTTTGGCAGCCCGTGGCACTTTCAATATTTTCCTCCAACACCATAACTCAAATGCATCAATTTTTCTACGAACTTCCTTATTCACTGTCAAATGTTCACATGTGTATGAGGTTATTGAAAATACCATGGCTTGGGTCATGCGCACCTTAGTCCTCAAACTGACATTAATTAGTACATTCTAATACATTGGATTATTTTGTTTCTTGTACAGAGCCCAAAAGTAGGTGAAGCTCATGTAGTTTCATTATAAACAGGGCATTTTCCAATCACATTGTGTTTTCCATTGGGTTGTTATCTGTTTTCTAACTTTAGGCAGTGACCATGACCCCTTAAGAAGGCCTGGTGGCACAATGCTTCAGCACTCAGTTGCTAACCTACAGATTGATGGTTCGAACCCACCCAGCAGCAATATGGGAGAAAGATCTGATGATCCACTTCTATAAAGATTACAGCCAAGAAAGCCCATGGGGCAGTTCTATTCTGCCCATGATCACCATGACCTGGAATCAATTTGATAACACCCAACAATAACAACAGAAGCCTTGTTCAGAAGACCTCAGTCTAGCAAAGACAAATAGGATGCTGTGGGTTTCTAATCTTTCTTCTTGCCTTCCTTTTGTAAATTTGGGAAAAATATTTTCTATTCATGATAAATGGAGACAAGATTGGCATTGTCAAGGATTTAATTTTATTTGGGCTCACAATCAGTGCTCATGGAAATACGAGCCAGGACATCAAGCAGCCAAATGCATTGGGTAAATCTGTTGTTACAAAAGGCCTCTTTAAAGTGTTGGAAAGCAAAGATGTCACTTTGAAAGTTAAGGTGTGCCTGACCAAAGCCATGGTATTCTCTATCACTTCATAAGCATGTGAAAGCAGGACAGTTAGTAAGGAAGACCAGAGAAGAAGTGCTGCCTTTGAATTATGGTGTTGGCGAAGAATATTGAATTCACTATGGACTGCTGGAAGAATGAACAGAACTGTGTTGCAAGAAGTGTAGGCAAAATGCCCCATCGAAGCTGAGATAGTGAGACTTGGTTTCATGTACTTGGGACATGTTATCAGGAGGGACCAGTCCACAGAGAAGGACATCAGGCTTGGTAAATTAGAGGGTCAGTGAAAAAAAAGGAGCTCCTCAAGGAAATGGAGTGACATAATGGCAAAACAATGGGTTCAAACACAGTAGTGGTGGTAAGCAAGGCACAGGGCCACGTAGAGTCTTGTTCTCTTGTACATAGGGTGCTATGAGATGGTATCCACTTAATGACACCTAACAACCACAATGTTCTATTACCTCTTCATCGGATTATTTCACTGGCAGGGGCTTTGGCCTCCAGGGGACAACTGACAATACCTAGAGACATTTTGGGGGGGCACCACTGGCTTCTAGTGGGTAGAAACCAGGGATGAGTCTAAACATGCTACAGTGTACAAGACAGCCTTACCAAAATACAGACTTCTGAGGCTCAAACTGTCCATACAGGCGAGGTCCAAAAATTCTTGCTCTATGTCATGGCTCAGCAAACTTTGTCCCTTAAATTGAATCTAACTTATATAAATGAGTAATGTTGTATGGAATAACAGCCTAGCCCATCCACACTATAATGCAACAGACACTTTTATGGTCTACAGAGCCTACAAAGTTTACCATTTACAGAAAATGTTTACTGACCCCTGATCTAGATTCAACAGATGACTGCTTTTTACAAGAGTTAAGTGGTCTCTGGCTTCTTCTCCTAATTATAAGAATGATTTTATTGCCCTGGGCTGGGGGTGCGGGAGCAACTTTAAAAAAAAAAAAAGAAAAAGGAGAGTTATTTCAGTTGTATTTGTTCTCCAAGCATATCTTTAAAAAAAAAAAAGAAAATTAAACTTGGAAGGAAAACATATAACCTTGAAAGTATCTGACTTTAGCAGGGAGGTGGTCTTTACAGAGGCAAAACGCAAATTTCCTGACATCATCCATTGCCATTTCTGTTTTAGAAAAGAGTCTCATGACCTTTTCTCATGAACAACAGGGAAAGCGAAGGAGGAAGTCAGTTTGCACAGACAATTAAGATGGCGATGTGCTTCTTCCTAGGAAAGCAGCAAGGAACGGTTCCACATTCTGAAACAGTTTCTTCTGAGATAGTAACGTTCAAATGCCGTGTTGGAAATAGCAAGCTATTCTCTTTGCACTTAGTTCCAAAGAACTTAATTCTGAACTGAGCAAATTAAAAAGGCACACCGTCCAAAAGAAAAAGTTTCTTTGAAAATGAGACTGCTCCCCTTCCAGCACCCCTGATGGTATGGTCAAACAAATTAGCTCATGGCAGTATGCCCAGGGTCTAAAAGAAAAATAAGGGTAGTCCAAAGCATTTTTTGAAAAATAAAATATCAAAAGGGCGGAATCGCCACAGTTCCTGCTAAGAGGCTGATCTTTATCACCATTGCTCTGTATGACTTGCTCCTGAATATTCAGTTATTATTATTTTATTTTATTTTTTTTAAGTGGAATTGACAGAACATAGCAGTAATAGGATGGAGTGCCTGGGCACAGGAAATAGTTGACCACTAAACTAGTAGCCAAAAGACAGATGGTTCAAACACAACCAGAGGTGCCAAGGAATACAGGATTGGTGATTTGTTTTCAAAAAGTCAGTCTTGAAAATCCAATGGAGCAGTGTTCTACTCTGTACATATGGGTCTCCAAGAGTCAGAATCAACTCGATGGCAACAAACAACAACAGTAACAAGCAACCAACTGAATGCAGGAAGTACGAAAGAACAGCTGAGGTGGCCACCATGTTTAGACTGTATGAGTGGATGCTGTTGCCAATAGACAAATAAGTACAACCAAAGGGATAG